TCTATATATATATATGAAAGTCAATAAGTATCAAACATTCTAAAATTTTCCGCTTTCTTGAAAATTAACCCTGACCCTTCCTTTGTGTGAAGTCATAATAGCCTCTCAAGTAATAAACGTATAGGGATGTATCCACTCCTGTTTGAATTCTCTTTAGTAAAAATCTCTATTATTAAAACCTGATACCGACGCATACATTAAAATGTATGTTTATATTTTAAAATATTTATATATAATATCTTATTTATTATTGTTTCAAGGTTTATAAAACGCGAGTGATAAAAAGCGATTGTTATTAATTCATTTAATTTGACACTTGTATTTTTTAATTAATAATACAAATTCAGTCTTTGTTTGTTTTGAATATTGAGCGACGACTTAAAAATATTATTTTATTTCTATAAAATCGATTTAGTGAGAAAAAGTCATACTCTATTATTAAAAAAAAAAACTAAAATGTGAAGACTAGTCCTTAAATGAACCCTAAATATGCTCTCTCTATGAAATGTGTGGTTGATCATGTTCACACATGGCTGCAGCGGTTGGTGCTCAAAAGACACAATGTTCAACGCATCAAGTATCAATACATTGCCGCTTACATGGAATGCTGAACCTGAGACTCTTGGTATGTGCGACAAGATATCCAACTGGTCAAGATTTGCCATTGTGTGATACTGTGATGTCATTTTGGAATAGGGTAAGTGATACACGTGTGATTGTGAGAATTGATCCTCTCTGTGGGAAAGAAAAAAAAATGACATGGTCTTGTGTTAAGATCATCTTCTAGATTGTCATGCTTTAACCTAATCTTCTCGCAATTTGACTTGCTGTCAAATAAAAAAATGGAAAATGAACGGATGTGTATCCGGTCACAAAAGTGATTGCAAGGAATATTAGTCAAAAAGATTTACCATAGTTTAAAAAAACAAAGAAAATATAACTCAAAAGTTTGAAGCATGATCATGACTGCTGACCCTGCAATTACTTTTCAACTTGAAGGAATTCCGGTCCCAAATGAATTAGCCAATCCTACAATTGTTCAGTAATATTTGACTACTGTTCAGTTATATTTGACTCTAATGAGATGGTCATGGATATTTTAAATTCGACAATGCTAGTTAGAAATACGTTTTTGCAATTAATTTTGAATTATTTTAACATTGTCTTACATCGTTTTTAGTTTCTTAAATTTAAGATAATTTTTTTCTTTTAATTAAATTTAAAATATTTTTAATTAAATCTATAAAATAAAAAAAAAACTTGTTTTATTTTATTTAGAACTGTTTGCAATATGTGATTGGCAGAATAAGTCAGTCATGCTGTATGAATTTTAGTTTATTATTAATAACAATACAAGTAGGTTATATCATTATCACATTAAATATATATAACTCCTACTGATTATGTACTTATTTATTATTGTAAAATGAGAGTAATTTTTATTATTATTAATAAGATATTATTGTTATAAAATATAAAGAATCATGAATTTTTTAAATATATATAAATAATTCTTATTACAAAGAGATAAAAAAAAACATATAAATTACCCTCACTAATACATCATAAAGTCCAGTCAAATTATACAAATTTCACCTTATCCTAAATACAAGTATAAAAAAACTGATCTTTGAGCATTGTATCTTCCTGTTGATCTTCACAATCTTCATTAAGATGCCTATAGAGATGAGCGAACTTGATCCATGCATGTTTTTTTTTTTTTGATCAGCCAAATAAATGCATTATGGAGGCACTAGGGGTGCCAAACCCACATACATAAAAGTTTAGATGTTGATAATTGAAATAAAAATACAAAAAGTTCACCTCCTACTTACCCTACTCAATCATACACTCAACAAGCACTTACAGAGAAATACACATGCCTGGGTTGCTTAGCCACTGTTGAAAGCTGTAATGGAAGGACTTGTCATGCCTCAACCAAGCCCAAGCATAGAAAGAGATATCATCTTGTAGTCTTTTCTGATCAAAATGATGTCCTCTGAACCTACAATTGTTTCTCATATTCCAGACACACCAAACTATCACACACCAAACTACCTTCCATCTTCCTCCTTCTTCTTTAGACCATCTCGAGTGAGGTTGTTGGAGAAAATGGTGGTGCACACTTTGAGGCAAAACAGTTGAGATAGAGGCCCATTGGTAGCAACTTTTCCAAATTTTGTGTACTTCTTTACAAGTGAATAATATATGTACCATAGTCTCCATCTCCTCTTCGCACATGGTACAAGTTTGGTTGTCTACCGGTAAAGCAATGTTCCTCCTAGTCAGGTTCTCCGTTGTAGGTAGACCATTGTGAAATACCTTTCAACATAAGATAGCAACCTTTGGTGGGATTTTTAATTTCCATAATGAGGAGAAAAGCTCTGTCATTGGCTGATTAGTGCTGGCAAGATAGCGCTGGCTGTGAATGAGGGTATATGCAGAAGACACTGAATATTGTCCATTGGCCTCACAAGTCCACCACCAAATTTTTTTTTCATTTTTCTTTGGCTTTCTTCCCTCCAGCATTTGTTGTAGCTCCTCCCATTGACCAACTTCTCTTTCAAACCAGCCTCTTCGCCACTTTAAATCCCATCTCCAATCTTCGCCAATCCAAGATCCCAACTCCATGACGAGGTTCATCTTTTTCTTTGAGTTCAAACACAATCTGGGAAAAACCTCGGCCAGAGTCGTGCTCCCAATCGAAGTATCATGCCAAAATCTGGTTTTATTTTCCCCTCCTAACCTCCACTCCACTGTAGCATCAAACCACTTTTCTCTTGTTTGACCACCACAAACCCTTGTTAAATCCTGCTACCAAATGGAAGAGTTCTGATGGCCTGCCTCTTTCAAAAGTGATTGCCACCCGCCGTACTTAGAGAGTAGTAATCTTCCCCACATAGAGTCCTCTTGATGGAAGAGTTGCCATTTCCATTTCCCGAGCAATGCATCGTTAAAAGATTCTATATTCTTGATGCCCAACCCACCTTTTTCCTTAGGATGGAAAATTGTTCTCCACTTGACCCATGAGATCTTTCTGGTTTCGTCTTTTGACCCCCATAAGAAATTCCTTTGGATTTTTTCTAATTGTCGCACCACTTGTTTTGGCATCTTGAAAAGGGAAATCAAGTATAAGGGAAGTCCAGATAAAACAGAGTTAATTAGACACACTCGTGCCGCCAACGACAGGTTTTTGCTCCTCCACAATGCCAATTTCCTATTGTATTTGAGCATTATTTCTTTCCACATCTGTTGTCTCCTCGGGTTGGCCCCTATAGGAATCCCAAGGTACACAAATGGAAGGGTCATGACTTTGCAATTGAGTAATGTTGCGCATCTTTCTCGTGATCTGTTATCTAATCCGACAACCCCAAATTTACTTTTATGGAAGTTTATTTTTAGTCCTGAGATGAGCTCGAAACATTTGAGGATGCACTTTACTGTAACAACATTGGCCAGGGTTGCCTCCCCAAATTAAGAAGAGGGTATCATCAGCAAATTGTAGTAAATTCACCTCCATCTGATAAGATCCTACCTTAAACCCAGAATATAAATTAAGGGTGACTGCATCCCTCATCATACCACTCAAGCCTTCAGCTATTACCAGAAACAAAAACGGTGCCAACGAGTCCCCCTATCTCAATCCTTTTTGTGTGTAGAACTCATTTGTAGGACTGCCATTAACCAATACTGATACTTTTGAAGATTTCAAGCATTCTTTTATCCAAAGTCTCCATTTGTCACAGAAACTGAGACGATGAAGCATATAAAGTAGGAACTCCCAGTTGACTGAGTCGTATGCCTTCTCGAAATCAACCTTGAATATCATACAATTTCGATTCTTTTGTTTGGCTTCGTCAACCACTTCATTGGCTATTAATGCTCTATGCACTAAGTTCCTGCCTCCCAAAAAAGTGCCCTGCATTTGGTCAATAACAGATGGCAGTACCATCTTGATTCGATTGGCGAGCACTTTTGATAGTACCTTATATAGGCAACCTACTACGGATATCGGTCTGAAATCGCCCAATTGTTGTGGGCATTCAACCTTAGGAATTAGTGCAATGAATGAGGAATTTGTCCCTTTTGGTAGCTTCCCATTTGCATGGAATTCATTCATGAACCCCATTATGTCCGCCTCTAGCACGTCCCAATACTTTTTATAAAGTTGAAATTGTAACCATCTGGACCTGGGCTTTTTGAGCCATCACAACTCCACACTGCTTCCTTAATTTCTAATCCCCCAAATTGTTGAGTCAATAAGATTCGTTGTTCATTGCTGATTTTTGAAAATTGGACCCCATCGAGGGTAGGTCTAAGCCACATTTCCTCTGAAAACTTGTTACTAAAGTAGTTTGATACCTCATATTTCACCTGGTTTGGCTCTTGTATCCAAACACCATCTTTCTCTATACCTTTTAAGCTGTTCATTCTTCTCCTCCAGTTTACAACTACATGGAAATACCTCGTGTTTTTATCTCCCTTCAGTAGCCACCTTACTCTTGACTTTTGCCTTAATAGTGATTCATTGTGTTTGGCCAGGTCCCATAACTGTTGTTGAAGTTGCCTCTTAGACCTTTGATCCGTCTCATCCAATTCCCCCTCCTCCTCCTTAATGTCCAAAGAGTTCATACGTTCTTCCACCTCCCTGAGTCTTGTTTGTATGTTGCCAAAACTATTTGCATTCCATGTTTTCAGTTTGCCTTTCAATATTTTGAGTTTTTCCTTCACTACGTAAGCACTCCAACCTTGCACTGTTGATTCCATCCAACTATGGTGGAAAAGTTGTCTAAGGTTGTTTTCTTGAAGCCAACAATCAAGTGTTCTGAAAGGTTTTGGGCCCCAATCGGTTATTGTATTCTTCATCACAATAGGACAGTGATTTGAAAAATTTCTATGTAGAACAAGCTGGGTGCAACCAGGCCAAACAAGCAACCACTCTAGTGAAACCAGAAATCTATCTAACTTGCTACGTGCAGTACCATTGGGTCGAAACCAAGTGAATAATCTGCCCGCAGGTGGGACTTCCAGTAACTCCATTCTTGAGATGAAATTATTAAAGAGATGTGTGTCCCTTGACTCACTATTCGTGACACCTAAGCCTTGCCTCTCGCCCCTGTGTCTGATAGTGTTGAAGTCACCCACCACACACCATAAATTAACCTGTGAACACTCTCTCCGTGTTGTCAATGTAGCCCAAAATGAGATTTTTTCTGGTAGTGTACATGGTGAGTACACGATAATAATAGTGATCACCCTTCCTTCCTCTTTCCAGACGCCTTCAACTCCCAACAAGCCATCTCCTTGAAATTGATTTTGTATCTGAAATGTTTGTTTGTTCCATAAGCATAATTTCCCTCCTGCTGAGTTAATTGCCGAAGTAAATAAATATTCTACCTCAGAATCCCCCCATATTGTTTGGCAAGTCAATATGCTAACTTCAGCCATTTTTGTTTCCTGGATGCACAAAAATTGAATCCCTTCTTTAATAATCAGACTCGTTAAGTATCTCCACTTTACCTTGCTCCCTAGACCCCTAACGTTGTATGAAGCTATAATCATAAATTATGTTGCATTGTTCCCTCCTTGTCCTGTTCTGCACAATTTCCCAATTGGTCTCGTTCCTCCATTTTCAACAGTCTTTCAATTATTTCCTCCTGGTTTCCCCTATGAGAAACTCCCAAAGACATACCCATCTCCCACAACTTTTTGACCTCAAATTTCTCATTCCTTATCCATAATATGTTATTGCAATTCATGATGTTCGATTCAGGTAATGAGCTACATTGTGAGTGAGATTCCAAACATACCTGGTTACCTTTTTTTCTTTTTTCTCCCATTGATCGTAAAGTAGGGTTGGATCCATTAACACCACCGTCTTTTTCGAGTTTTTGGTGCATATTTGATTTCCCTTCCACTATTGAAGACAAACCTTGCCACTTACTCTGCGATCCTTTTTTCCCCTTAAATCTGGTTGTTTGTTCATTATGGATGTCTTGGTTGCTTTCAAGAAAGGGTACCAGATCATTAAGTTTGGTTGCATTTCTGTCGTCACTGTTGTGACTCTCCATTGGCTGGTGATGACTTGCTTCTTTTGAAGGCACAGAGGTAAAGAAAATGTTTGTTGTGTGCATGTCTCCTTCATTTGTACTTTGGGTTGGGCTTTAGCCTTTAGTTATGCCCAACATAGTCTCCAAATTTTGTACATGCCCGTCTTCATTTTGTACGTGTCTGTGCTCATCAAGACCACACTCAATTTGACCCTTGGGCCCAATAATTGCATTTTGGGCTTGATCCATGCATGTGTCTTACAACTATCACTATTGGGAAAAGATACATTACGGTGAAGGACTACATCCAGTGGTGGATCTAAAAATTTGGCTCTAGGGGGCCATGAAAAAGAATTAACTCATATGTAGACATCTCAACATCATATATATTCCATTATAACAAATATTATTATTTTTTAAATTCTTCTTTTTATCATATTATATATCAATTATACATATATTTCTTTTTTTCTCAAGTGTCAACTAATATGATGATTTTCATTTATCAATATTTAATACTTTTTTATAAGTTTTATGAGGTAACCATTTAAATACATTTACAAAATATAGGGGGGCATATACCCCGTCCATGTCCTCCTTTCCCTCCGCCCCTAGCGTAGAAGTATATTTCTGATGCCATATAGTATGACTATAGTGGATTGAAGGAATCTATAGTGGTGATTCAACCAGCCTCCATGTTTACTTGTCCCGCAACCCAATCAATTCTTATAAGTGATCATCATCAAGCATGTCATCTTCAAGAAAAACCACATGCACACAAAACAAAAATAAAGGAGCAAAAAATATTGATTCCAACTCTTTTATACAAGAAGGTATTAAAGTACTTGCCTTGAAACACCTAAGACGTACTCTGGGAAAACTAGAAAAGTTTTACTCATCTATCTATCTTGGTAGTCATGACTCTATTTGTCAAGGTTATTTACTTTGGTGACTTTCTTCATTTTGTTCTCCATCACACACACTCTCTAGTCAGGTTTGTTCTCTTCTCTCGTTCTTCCATTTTGTGCATTGGTGCTCTATGCTAAGTTTGTTGATATGTTGTTTTGATTGATAACTTAGTGTTGACAAGTGTCGTTGACATGTTGTTTGATTAAGAATTATGTGTATAATTTGGTACTTGGGTGTGAAATTGAGGTTTGAGAGCTTATTTAGTTGAGTTTGTGGTTTGACTAGTTAACTTGGGATTGGTTTAGGATTTGGATGCTTATTTAATTACTTGATAAGTTACTATTTTAATTAAAAATTAATCATAAGTTAGTAATAATTAAATCAATTACACTATAGGTTAGAAATGATTAAATAATATTTTAATTATTATTAATTCAAAAGCATAATTATAGTTGACTAAACATAATTATATGCTTAGTTTCACAATTTTTTGTTTAATTATATATGGGATTTAACAAAGCATAATTATATGTTTAGTTATCTCAAAATGTTCTATTGTAGTTATTAGGAATATTAAATTTGATCAAATGTGAGTGAATCTTAGTTTCTTGTTTGAGATTGAATACAATGGTTACACAATTAATGTATAATTGTTGTATTTAATTTTGAATTGTTCGTTTGGAGAATTCGAATATATATATATATAT